CTCTCTCTCTCTCCCCCCCCCCTCTCTCTCCCTGCCGCCCCTCCCGTCCCCCATCCCCCCCCCCCCCACCCTCCCCCTCCCACCCCACCCCCCCCCCACCTCTCTCTCCCCCCCCCCTCTCCCCCCCCCCCCCCCCCCCCCCCCCCCCCCCCCTCCCCCTCCCCCCCCCCCCCCCCCTCCCCCCCCCTGGCATTTTCCCCCTTCCCCCACCACATCGCCCCACGCCCGATGCGCCTGTCGCGCACACCATGGCCTGGTCGTCTAGATAGTTCCAGGATGGTGCCGGGGCCCCCTCCCCACATACCACCTCCCGCCCTTCCCACGTTCCATGATTCCCCACCCGTTCATGCCGCCCGCCCGCAGCACAGCCCACAGTGGGCCGCGCTGCGATGCCGCGGCGTGTCGGAGAGCCACAGCCGAGCAGCTAGCCTGCGAAATGATGCCGGCATGCATGCCCTTCTCCCCTAAAACCCACTCCAGAACCCCCCCCCTGCCCCGTTTGACTGCCCCCTTCCGCTGCGCGCGCACGCACCTGTGTATGGTGCGTGCATACATGTGCGGCATATGCATCCCCCCCCCCCCCCCTCTATCGCTCCCTTCTCCGCCATACCGCACTGTGAGGACGCGGAATGGTCGAAGCCAGAGAGAGGGGGGGGGGGAGCGCGTGTGCCTGCGTATGCGTACGCGCGCGCTGGCCTCATCCTCCTCCCGCCACGCGCTGCTGTGCATGTGTAGGGCACACCGGTCGCATGCTGCGTGGGCAACGCAACCCCACCCCCCCCCTCCCCCATTTTGAGTACATTTGTAAAATATACCACCGCGAGAGCGAGCGTGTTCCCCCCCGTTCACACACACACACACACGCCCCTTCTGTCGCTCTATCTCTTTGTCGGTGTCACCATGCACCCCCGGGCGCAGCCGGGCGCCCTTTGGCAGCCGGCTCCCTCGACCGGGCTGCCACCGGCGCCGGCAGGGCACGAGAGAGAGAGAGAGAGAGAGCGGTCCTTGGGAGGAAGGGCCGAGACGCCCAACGGGCGGGCTATTTGTTTATATTCCACCGGCCTTTGTTTAGCCCGGTCGCGTGTGCCGGTCAGACGAGGTCTGGACGCGCCGTCCTCGCCTGCGCCCCCCCCCCCCCCCCACCCCCCGCCCTCCGTGCTCAGTCGGCCGGCGCGATCTGTGGAGCATCCCGTTGGGCCGCGAGCCCTCTTCGGCCCGGGAGCGCGTGCCACAAGTGAAACCGG